AAAAAGCAAATCTGTCTTTCCCCGAAAAAAAACCCAACACCAAGCATCCAACACCCTTGAATAACTGGTGTTTGACTTTTGTATATATTTACGTGTGGTTAATGTGCTTTATTTTGAGGATATTGAGTGGTCACTGACATATATCACAAAGTAAGCATTCATAGTTTTGTCTGTGCAGCCGAGCTTTAAATAGAACATTCTCCACTGTCACCTGGGAATTCTGAGTTTTTCCAGCCTTGCAGACAGGTATAACTTCTGCCTTATTTTGCTTAAGGAGCAAAATGATCCTTTGCATGACCACCAGTGCAACACAAGTCACAAATACATACATGCAGAAAAAAAAAAAAGTAATTCCTTCAAGGGCTTATTCTTGGTGAAGACAAAAATAATATTATTTATGTGTTTTTGTGGCCAGATAAATACTATACATAATGGTGTGGCAGCATGACTACAAACTCCTTTGTGCCTTTCTTGGGGTTAAAACTTTAACAGGAAAGGAAGACATTTAAGTGAGAGTTCACCCCCTACAAATTCCAGCATATAATTACAAAACTCTTGAACAGAAGGTTCTTCCACTGCAACAAAGTGTACTAATTTGAGAGAAAACAGAAGTCTCCACTGCTTTACTATTTTTTAAAAGTTAAAATTGACAAAATGGCACTTATCTGTTGCTCAGTAAGTGTCAGCCCAGAACTCTTCTGCATTATCTGCTTCATGCAGTGGCTAGGCAGATTACACAGAGTTTGGCACAACCTTTACCATGCCTTCTGGAGACCTCTCTATAGCTCACATGCAGCAGGCTGAAAACAGCAATACACGAAGTTCAGCACTGCTAAGCTTGATGACTCCAACTAGGAGCATCAGATTCAGGGGCCTAATCTGACACCAGGTAGTTGACACAGGGGATACTCTGACAGAATTATTGAAAGTACGAGCTACTGAAGAAAGGAATGCTGCTTGTGTACCTGCTGCCTCAGTACCAGGTCCTCCTTCTGCCCAGTGCTGACCGAAGCAGTGCGAGTTTGGCAGTGCGTCCCCCTGACCACCGTAACAAAAGTAGGGATGTTACCTCTTGGGCTGATGTACATCCACATGGCCCTGCCCAGTGCCGTGTCCATTAGCGACATTTGCTCAAGGATCTCTGCATTGCTCGCCACTGCACAAGGCACTGTGCCCAAGGACAGAGTTCACACATGAGAGGAAGACTAGCTCATGAGCCAGACCCAGTCTGTGCATCTGTCTATCTCCACACTAATTTATCAGACTTCACTGCCGGTACTATGGTCAGGCAAATCAGCAATCTGTTACAGACGTGTAACTCACATGACAGTTTCTGCATTTGGCATCTTAAACTTTGTGCCACAGAAATGTGTTGTGCCATTAATATGAACAAGCACAATATGTTTAATGTATACTACTGTGAATATGGAAAAGCAGGTTTCAGGAATCATGACAGTTGTGGGCAGATACCGCTCTCTGTGTTAATCATGATGCAGTTACATAACAAAAAAATCCAAACACAGAGATTAAAAAAAACAGTAGGGAACATAAATGTAGTGATGGTACATGTCATACTCCTGGGGTGAATATCTTACCAGTTTAGACCGATTAAGAGCAAAAATGTGCTAATGAGCTAAACACGTTTACATTGAGGAGGTCTAGATTATGTATTCATCTCTTCATTAGAATTAAGTAATGAAGATGCAGAAAATCAAAGGAAAAGAGACAGATGAAACGAGTCTAGACTTCAATTTTAGTTTTAAAACTTTTCTTACTTGGAGGCTTCTGTTGTAGAAAAATTTAGATGAATGATAAAATGTTCAAATTATTTTCTGCATGGTTGGGGAAACAACACTAGACTATTTGTACACAAACAACTTTGAGGCATTTTGCATTTAATTTGCATACAATTCTTAAAGTGAATTCCACATGAGGAAGGGTGAGATACAACAGAGCTTGTTTACCATTTCACAAGCTAACAGAACAAAGTAAACATCTGTCCTTCTTATTTACTAGCTTCCATCCCTTACTCCAACTTGTCACTTACTGCTGCAAGTCTCCGTGCCAAGTAAATGCATGGATTAGTTCCAAACTCCACAGACATTCGCATGTGGACTTCAGTGGTACTACAAATGATAACAGCAAGAAAAAACTGAAATAGAAAGACTGTAGAAGAACTTATATTCTCTTCACGTTTCCCAAATGAAGACCCAAAATTCAGAGTAAACAAATACTTCAGTTGTTCAGCTCAGCTACTCATCTGACTGTGGTTGCTCTGTGGAGCACATAGCTAAGGAGAAAAAAGAACAGTACTTTCTGTCAAATAAGAGGGGGCATTAAATTAGAAACAGAGAGGTCTCAAAATAACTGTGTTAAAATGGACTTCCGACACAAATTTATCTGAAACACAATTTGAGCACGCTCTTTCCTTCTACATAATGATAAAGTTTGCTAGGTATACAATTTCCATTTGACCAGGCTTTTGGCTTCTTTCAAACTGGCAAATACCATCCTGATCAAAATATATTACAATAGTATTATACCTACAATAAAATACTGGCATGGTGCAAAGGACAGCATCATCTGTCTTCATGCTTTAATGAGACCAAATAATAAACATAGGTTGAAAGGGAAGCAGTAACAAATCTGTCTTGCAGATCTTTCTGAAAGAGAGATGTGAATGTGAGGCTGTCCAGGTAAAAAAAAAGAAAGAGCCATAAGCTGCAAAGAAGCTGGACCTACCTACAGCAGCAGAAAATCCTTATCCCTAGAGCTGTTGTCATTTAGGTCTTACAGCAATAAACACCAGTTTAGCCTTCTGCCTAAAAATTTACAGGAAGCCTTTTTTTCTGTGTAGGAAATCTTAACATTGAGATTCTGTGACAATGCTCACAGTAAGCTGAGTGAAAAAAAATCAAAACAATTGTGCTGAAGGGGAAAATTACAGATCTCTGAATCACGTGTCTCTGCTAGTAAGGGTTTGCATATGCACATAAGCCTACACATCACAGCACATCTGTCGATGCCAGTGATTCCATTTGGGATTTGCCAATTTTTTCCTCTCATGATTGTGGATTCTCCAGCAACTCTACTGAGTCTGAAATACATCAGTACCAGAGAAGAGACTCTAACAATAAAAATCTTTGTACACTTTAATATTTATTAATTCTCTAGCCATTTGTTGCTATATATTGAACACCAGTATGACAAAATTTCTGATAATTATATCTCATGCAGGTAACTTAAATGAGGCGTTAGCACTATCTAAACTGGCAAACATACCACTAGGGGGGTTACTTTTGAGGCTACAAGACAAGTATTTCTGCAACAATGACAACTAGGTGGGTATGCATATAACATAACAGGCTCAGCTGAATGTACTTGGCAGGTATCTAAATGACAGCACAGCCTTCAGAAGGACTGGAGTAGCAACTTGACCTAAATAGACTTGACGTTATTGTTTAAGAGGGCTTGAGTGGAGTTGGAGGCATGTTGGAAACTGTTGTTGGGAGAAATAGTATTTCTGTAATTAGTCAAATAATTTAGCTTTTGCTAGTTAGAGTTGCTGTGATTTGTGTTCTTTGACGGGGTAAAATGTGTTACTCACTCTACCCATATTGCTATTGTTTAGGTCACAACAGAGATATTGAGAGCAAACCATACCTTCTACAGCTGAAGACAAAGATTGCTGATAGATTGCTGCTATTCCTTCTCTGCAATTCCTTGGTGAGTACATTTTCATGAACACCAACCATGAAAACAAACTTCCTAGAGTCCAGATTTTTTAAAAATATATTACAGGAAAATTCTACTTGTAAATCACTTATTCTTTTCTCCTACAATACCCACAGGTTTCAAAACAAAATCATAAATGAAATTATTAAAAGAATAACAAGAGTTGTGATAGTCTTTTGTTGTACTGGGCATTTCCCTTTTTTAACTAACATACATTCTAACAGAAATCCCACAGTACGAACCAGATAACTTCAATTAAAAAAACAAAATGCAAACTATTCAGTCCAATGTTAGATATGTGTATGTGTGTATAATACTGTAAAAGTAGTCACACATTAGAGGTATATAATTGAAACAGCATTTTCCTTCATGAACCTGCTATTATTGAGGCAGTGACAAGGTTTCCATTTCTTTGTTTTCTGAGCTCTTTAAAGAATGGCTATTGCCACATTTTGAAAACCCGAATACTGTACAAGCAGAAGCTTGTTGGTATCAGTTAAGGAGTAATACTACTAGTGCAAACAGGTGCAGAGACAATTCCTCCAGTTTTGGGGTGAACCAGCTATATAACACTGAAAGAGGACAGGCATCTTCTTCAAACCCACACTCATGCGTGTTTCTCCACTCAGACATACATCCTTCTCTGTCTTGGTCTTCTTTTTACAAGGGTAGTTGGGGGAGAACCACCAGCTCATGTGATTTTTGTCATATGAAAGATTTCTTGACTGTTTTCCTATTAATATTCTGGATGTTTTATAACAAGTCAAGGAACGATAAATACCTCAAGCATCAGAAAAGTGACAATAATACTGACTTAGTGTCTTTAGTAAAAAGTTAAACATTCTCTCCTGAGATATAAGTCAAGGAAGGAACAGGAATGATGAACCTAACACTGTACCATTATTTGATCATCATGCACCTCAGCTGACCAGATGAGAAAGAACAAGTGTTTATTGCCCTCTGCTCATCCAAAGCTATGACAGGCAGTTTATTTAGGTAAGTGCTTGGCATACCAGAATGTTGTCAGAGCAGTTCTCACTGTACTGTCCCCCTTTAGCTTATTTCTTTAAAAGAAAAGGAAAAAAAAAAAAAAAAAGAAAAGGGAAAAAAAAGGATGCGGGCAGACGCTGCGGCCTCAAGAAAGGACGTCTAAGCGATAAAAAAAAAAAAATTCCGACAACTGTGGTCTAAATATAAAGGGTTTTTATCTTTTGCCAGGTAAAGGCATTTCAAAAAAAAAAAAAAAAAAAAAAAAAGAAAAGGGAAAAAAAAGAAGAAGAAAATCTCAGCAGGTTAACCCTCATCTTCTCTCAGCTCTGTGGGTAGAAATTTGTATTGCTGTTGGCGGATCTGAGCCAGTTTTTTCCTCGCCTCTTCCAGTTCTCTTTCCTTCTTCAGCATTTCTTCTTGGGCTGCAATGATCTAGAAAACAGAAGCATTAATTATGACAGCAAGAAATACTGTCTGTAAAAGAAGATTTCTTTCTCTATGACACGAGTCACAGCTAGGCCTTGAGCCTTCTCTAGAGAAGCACCAAATTTCAATGGCTTCGGCAGGAATTGCTCAAATTTTTCCAGGTTCCAGGACTATGCCATTAAAAACAGTATGGTATTCTCGCTTGTTTCCTAAAGAGGACTAAAAAAAGAAAAAAGAATCTACCAGCATAGTTTTTACCATAGATCCATGATGGATTTTATAGTGCTATGCTCCCCCAACATTCATTGGGGTGAGGGGTTGGTTATCACATGTAGGATAAGCACCATGTCTTAACATAATGCTTGAGTGATGGTAATATTGAACACTCTTTACTACAGGTATCCACAGTATTTTCCTGCATCTCAAAATGCCAAAGGAAAAATGTCAGTGCTACAGACATGCAGAAATGATAAATTTCAATATCTTTTAAGTAGTGACCACAGCATATGGTGTTCCTCATTCATACCAGTGAATCAAGAAGTTGGTACAACCTCAAAGCCTTGGAATCTATTTTTAAGTATTGTTATTATTTCCCCATATTTATTATGGTCACAGTAATGAAATATCATCAGTTCTTATCTCTCGCTCTCTATTTATTTGATTATATACATGTAAAACTAGTGTTCCATTAAGATCTGGGAATATTTAAAGTACAGTGAGAAGTTTGAAAAGAAACATTAATTTCATCAGAATAAACAAAAAAAAAAGATATTGGACAAGGTAACTCCTATTACAGTAAATGCTCAATGAAGAAGTGTAGACATCGTACAGCATATCAGTTTGCTGTTATGTCAGTGGTTACCTAACCGTGAAGCATCAAGTAATTTATCATAGATTTCTACATAGACTTGCCCAGCCTGCAACACAGCAGACAGACATTGTAACACTACGCTACATTTCTGTGATAGCTTTTCTCTGCTTTACTTCTTGGGTGATTGTACCAACCTGAGCAATGCCACCCACAAACTTTGTTTTGACCACAACATCATCATCCTCTGCTTTCCCAAATGCTGCTTTTTGGGCCGCCCTGACAAGATTGTCTGATGCTCGCTTGACAGCATTTCCTGCAGCCTGTGAAAAAGACAGAAGAAATTTAGTAATAATAAAAATGTATAACTAACATGGATCCATCTGAGCATCAAAACTAAAACGCCTTTGCTTGACGACACAGGAAAGGTGTGTTTTGTTTTGTTTTTCCCAGTGAAAACCAAATTAATCTCTCAAAACCAGTGGTACAGAGAGGAAACCAATTCATTTATTTAAGAAGCTGAAAGTTGGGAAAGTCACAAAAATGCTTTTTTTTTCCCTGCA